TTTTGTTATGGTGAACATTTTATGGATGATCTTTTGTTAACATACGATACCAAGCCACAACTTGTCTGAATGCCAGTGTTACCTTTACATAAATATAAATACCATGCAACATTTCTGTTCTTTTATAAAGGTTTTTGTATGAAATGCCATTTAGATGCTTCATGACCAGCAAACATAAATAAATGTTATTAAAGGTGGTCTTGGCTGAGAGGGAGGTCTGAAAGACTGAATTCCTTGCGGGAGAGGCAAATTAACCAGAGAAAGTTTTATTTCACTATCAACATAGTAGTGGCATGCACACATCAGCTGGTATTAATCTCAGTTATGGCTTGAGGCTAGTGACTGATGGCATGCTATAAATTCAAATTTGGAAGGGAAAAAAAAGGTGATCCTCCTGATTCATGCATTTAAACTCATTTTAAGTTGGATCAGATTGCAGATATCTGACTTCTACGTAACAGCAAGTGTTTGGGCCAGTTTCCACAGTTTTGGTTTTTCCATTCTGCTTTCTGCTGCGTTATCTTCCTGGTGCCAGTACGGACTTCCTGCAATTGGAGGTTTCGGGACTTTTTGAGCTGGAGGTTGTACCTGAACAGCCGTGTTTCACAGCCAAAATGAATTTGTCTAATCCTTTTCAGAATCCATTTATAACTCAGTCCTCCATAACATTCTATGGCAAGGAGCCTCATAATTTAATTACACGTTGCATGAAAAGGTACTGAAATTAGTAAAAGTTATTAAAGTCTTTTAGCCCAGGAGAGCCTTATTAGCTGGCGTCCCTCATTTGTTGGAAAGCCTCGCTGGGCAGGAAGGAAGGGCTGTTGCTGCTGATGGAGGCTTACCCAGGCATGCAAGTTCTGCAATTACTCCTGCTTTTGGCCTGCAAAATCCTCATTGCATTCTTCTGGTGCTCATCTAGTGAATGCTGCTGCAGCTGACTGCTACACAGCTTTTACTGTGCAGTACCTCAGCCAGGCAAATTGATGTCTGTTGTGTCCCAGGGCAGCGGGAGCTGACACTTGAAAACAATATCTACCTCAAGCAGCTTCCTTGGCAAGAAGGAAAATGCGTTCCCCTGGCCCAGCCTCCCCATCTAGCTGCATGTATGGTGGGGACGTGGTCAGAGAGAGGTCAGGGCACTCAGAAAAATCAAGCAGGCATCTTGCACATTCACTGCATCACTGAACTGCTTCAGTGAGCCAGGAGCAGCCTCTCATGTCCTGTGCCAATGGTGCACAGCTGCTGCTGGGGAGCTGCTGCCGATTCTCCTGCCCTCCCACCTCCTTCAAGGGGCCTTCTCTGCAGCTCCCACATCCTGCTGGCAGCGTGGGATGGGCACAGGGAGCTCCAGTCATTAAGAACAAGGCAGAGGCCACCAGGTGAAGTGGGTGTGCAGGAAAGGAACAGTCAGTTCATCTAAAAGAAAGCACCAGTGCGGTCTGCTCTGCTCATTAATGATATATTTGGCAGAATATGTTAATTGGGTGAGGTTGAATTCCAAAGTAGGTCTTGCTACAGCCAGGCCAAGGGTTTTTGTGTAAGGATGACTCCTCCACAAATCACCTAGCAGGGCTGTGACTATTAATTATACTCTGTTCCAGCAAGCACCAATAGAAATTAACATTTTCAGCCTGAGGCTTCCAACGATGTGTGCATAAAACCACCAGCAGGAGCCTTTTTGTAGGGTCAGCTCTGTGCCATGGGGCTCTGGGGGCATTGGCAGGAGGCGGCCAGGGCTTTGCACGTCCACCAACGCTGTGCATCCTGGCTCTCTGCAATGGGGAAAATATCATCAGTCCTGGGCAGGTGTAACAGTTAGTTATTCAGGAGAGGAATTTCTGCCCCTATGAAAGCAGGAAGTGTTGATGTAAATGCGCAAAACTGCTACTCTGCAATTAAAAGTCTTTCCTTTGGCCAGCATCTCTTCTAAGCGCAGTATCCAACAGAACTACTGAAGTTCTGGTTTCCACAGGCCCTCAGGGATGCGGTGCTCCCTTTGAACATCCCAGAGCAGAAATCCCTGCTGGGGGCAGCGAGCAGCCATGCTCCTGTCTGCCTGTCCCTGCAGCACAAGGCACAGGCTCCACTCCCATCCTGGCCACCCCTTTCATCCCTCCGCACACTGCGCATTATCTGATCTGATGAGTCATCGGAAATCATCCCATCATCGCACACTCAACGAGGCGAGGGCTCATTAGCAAGCTACTTTGTGTCACCACTTCTTCCCATACACCGTGTGTTTCCCCTGCATTTTAGGATGCTTTAGGAAAGCAGCTCCTAAACTGCTAACCCTTTAATCTCAAAATAAGATAATCAAACGTGTTTGCGAGAGCTGCGCTAGCGACGCCTTCATCTAAACGTAAGTTCTTACAGCAAAAACACACTGGTTGGATTTGCCTGCTCAAATCTCACAAAGCCCCTGTTGTAGCACAGGAAAGAAAACCTCACTCCTTAAACATGGTAATTCTGGGCAAGAACATTAATGGCAACCAAGAACTGGAAAGCTGGATGTGTAAATTAAAAAGCAAAAATCCTAATATCCTAATACCTATTACATGCAATCTCTATCCAAGTAGCTCTAAATGAGGAACACAGGTTGCTCTCTGATAGAGCTGCAATAAACCCCCAACAGGATGGCATTACAAACCAGCCCACCTTTCAGAAAGAACCAGCACCACGGAGCTTCCCAGTCCGGCAGACGTTGCTCCCTATTTGTCTTCTACTCCACTCAAAGCACCTATCTGTGGCACAAATAATGCTGTGGAACAGAGAGAACAGCATCCCAGAGCTTCGTCTTCCCAATCCCGGTTTGGGACCACCTGACTGGTATGGCAGAGGAGAAAGGGTGCTTTGCTCAGCGCCCCAGCCACCCACGCTCCTCCTTTATTCCCGGCAGGAGGCGTTTGGGAGGTCAGCCCATGGATTTCGATTTCTACTCGACATTGCTCAGTCGCATCACCTTGAAAAGGGGCTACGGGAGAAACAGA